CCTAAACCCTAAACCCTAAACCCTAAACCCTAAACCCTAAACCCTACACCCTAAACCTAAACCCGAAACCCGAAACCCTCGAGGGTTTCACTCGTCCTGGGCATTGGAGGGTTCCTTCCTTAGGGGCCCACTGCTCGAGGCCACCGCCTACGTGCTTTTTACCTCGGGCTCCACAGGAAAGCCCAAGGGCGGCTCAACTGCTGGAGAGCTCCCAAGGTTTAGGGTTTAGGGTTTAGGGGTTAGGGTTTAGGGTTTAGGGTTTAGGGTTTGGGGAAATAGTTCTTGTGGGGTTTTCAGAGATTTTTAGAGTGGCGTTGAAGGCTTCTGCTTGATGGTTGTCCAAAAGTTCGTTTTGCCTGCGAGGGTTTGTTCGCCCTACTTCCCCACCCCAGCCGAAAAACAGGCTTAAGGGTACCCTAAAGCCTAAACCCTAAACCCTAAACCCTAGGCCCTAAACCCTAAACCCTAAACCCTAAACCCTAAACCCCAAACCCTAAACCCTAAACCCTAAATCCTAAACCCTAAACCGAGCAGCCGAGGCTGCATGGTCCCGCACCGGGGCAGCGCGCTCTACGCCCAGGCAGTCGTGGAGCACTGCAACTTGGAGCCCCAGGGTTTAGGGTTTAGGGTTTAGGGTTTAGGGTTTAGGGCTTGGGGTTTATGGTTTCGGGTTTAGGGTTTAGGGTCTTAGTTCTTATGGCTTTAGGGAGTGTAGGGCTTTCAGGATGTCAGAGGGTTTAGAGGATGTGGGCTTAGGGTTAAGGGCTGAGGGTTTGGATGTATACGCATGAGAATGAAGATGTGCTTGTCATCTCAACGATAGGACGAGAACATGGTCTACCTGCTGAAGACGCCTTATGTCTTCGACGTTTCCATCCAGGACGCGGGCCTCAGCATTCCAAGTGACATGTGGGGAGGCGAACCTTAAACCTGAAACCCTAAACCCTAAACCCGTGCCGCTTGCGTCAAGTGCCCGCCAAAAGGCACTCGGCAGGGACAGAGCCATACTATTTAAGTCTTTTTCAGTGGTAGCGGCAGTACTTTCGTGTTTTGGGGCTGGGATTTGCGGTGTATCCGTTTGAGGATGTTTTTAGGGAGTTTTCCTCGTGAAGTTTTGAGGGTTTGTTATGTGCCAAGCACTCTACGTTCAGGAAATACCTCGTCTGCCAGGTTAAACAGAGGTGTTAGGTAGGCTAATATGAGGCACGTTGAAAGTACTGCGCAGGGCAGCAAAAGTGAGTGACCGTTTGCTGAGTACACTTAGCAACCGCGCAGATGGTCGCAACTGCGATTTTTTCTTGCTTTCAGTTGGCCAGGCGCATCCACGTTTGGACGCAGCTTTGTTCAAAAAAGGCTTGTGGAGCGAAGCCCCTGCACAGGCAGTAAACTCGGTAGATGCGGACTGCATTGAGTGCTGAGTGCAGACCACCTGTGCGCAAAAGAAAAGCTTCGAAGGGCACTGGTAACACGGACGTTATCATCGTGCGGACAAATGTGTGCTCTGGCCATTCGCACGCACTAGTCGCACGGACGTTCCCCGGGCGCTTGACGCTGGCGGAGCCAAACCTGAACCCCTGGACCGGGGTTTAGGGTTTAGGGTTTAGGGTTTAGGGTTTGGGTTTTAGGCTTTAGGCTTTAGGCTTTAGGGTTCAGGGTTTAGGGTTCAGGGTTGAGCGTTTAGGGAGCCTTCATTCTTGGACCTCTCGGGTTCGATTCTGGCGTGGCATGTTTTTTGCTAACATAAACAACTCGAACGTATAGTTCCATCTTGGGTAGTGGAAACGGGGTTTTCACCGTAGTTGGTTCACCGTGTCTGTTGTTGCAGACCCCTAAGCCTTAAACCCTAAAGCCGTATAAGCCCCCCCCCCAAACCCCCCAAACCCCCCCAACTCCCCCCAACCCCCCCCCCAAAACCCCCGAAACCCCCCCCAACCCCCCCAACCAAACCCCCAAACCCCCCAAACCACCCCAAACCCCCCACCCCCAAACCCCCCCAAACCCCCCAAACCCCCCAAACCCCCCAAACCCCCAAACCCCCCCAAACCCCTCAAACCCCCTAAACCCCCTAAACCCCCTAAACTCGCAAAAGCCCCTAAACCCTAACCCTAAACCCTGAACCCTAAACCCTAAACCCCCCCCACAGGACCTGTTCACGGCCTTCTGCGCTGGCGGCACCTTGGAGATTGCAGACCCTGGAGCTCACAAGGCCTCAGGGGACGCCCATTTGGGGTTTTGGGTTTGGGGTTTAGGGTTTAGGGGTTTTAGGGTTTAGGGTTTTAGGGTTTAGACGGGTTTAGGGTTTTAGGGTTTTAGGGTTTGAGGGTGTAGGGTTTGGGTTTCAGGGCTTTAGGGTTTAGGTTTTACGGTTTAGGCCTCAGGAGGTTTTTCAGAGACTCTGAGGCCACCAGGTTTAGATTTTAGAGCTTAGGCTTCAGAGTTTTAGTTCTTACTCTTACTTTGCGTGGTTTCGTTTAGGTCTTCAAGGGAGCTAAAAGGTATCCTAAGCCCTAAACCCTAAACCCTAAACCCTAAATCCTAAACCCGAAACCCTAAACCCTAAACCCCAAACCCTTGGGTTCAACAATCATTTTGGCTCCCGAGATCGATTTCGGCTTTGGGTCCTTATGATTCACGGGGCTTCATTTGAAGGGACAGACTGTTGCCTCTTCGTGCCCCGCCACATATCCTCGATATGTTAGGGTTTCGGGCTTCGGGTTTCGGGTTTAGAAAAACTCGAAACCCCAAGCCCACATCGCCAGCCAACTCCTCTGGAAGGACGCCGGTGCCATTGCGGAGATCATTGGCACCCAAGGGGTGAACTGCGCCTGTTTCGTACCCACGCTGCCGCTTGGCAAAAACGACCCTCAACCTCGGCGTCGGGATTTGCTCTGAACCCTAAACCCTAAACCCTAAACCCTAAACCCTAAACCCTAAACCCTAAACCCTAAACCCTAAACCCTAAACCCTAAGCCCTAAACCCCAAACCCTAAACCCCAAACCCTAAACCCCAAAAACCCTAAACCCTAAACCCTAAACCCTAAACCCCCAAACCCCAAGCCTCAGGTTGGAACCATGGGCCCTTAGTGTGGTCCCTTACGCTTGTTGTCGGGGATCCCAGGTATGGGCCCTTACTATATGTAGTGTGTATAAGGGTTATAAGGCCCATACTTCGAATCCCCTAGTAGAGCAAGAGAAAAGGGGTCCACATGGCACCATATCGAAAAGTTGCCAGGCTCGGAATCCAAACCCGAGAGGTCTTCTTTCATTCGGCGCTGATCTGCTTGGGCTTTGTGGCTTAGTAGGCCTTGTTTCACGGTGTAGGGTTATCCTGAACCCTAAACCCTGAACCCTAAACCCAAAACCCCTAACCCTGAACCGTTCGCTCACCCCTTCAAAACCTACAGTGCAAGCTCCCAAGGCTCGTGGAGTTCGTCACTCGCCTGCACAGGCGTCGGGCGAGCGTCCCCAACAAATCCTAGGGTCCGGGGCGGGGCGGGGGGGGGGGGGGGAAATCGGGGGAAGTGTTGGGAACTGCGCCAGGAGGTCCTTGATCCTAAGAAGTTTCGGTCTGCCCTTGAAGTACCTGAGACAAGGGACAGCTCGCTTCCCTATCGCGGCCTCTCGTGGTCATGTAGGCTCCCAAATTCAATCCTACGTAGCCTGTGGGGGGTTGATCTAAATCTTTCTTGGGACATGCTTTAGGTTCCTATGTGGGTTGACCATGGGACGTGCAGTGTGATTTCGGAAACCGCCCTAAACCTGGCATCCTAAACCCCAAACCCAAACCCTAAACCCCAAACCCCAAGCCCTAAATGCCCTGCATGTGCATAAGCTTCGCGATGCCGCTTTCGGACAGCCCAGGATCAGCCTGAACAGCAAAACCCAAACTTGGGTTTAGGAGCTTAGGGGTTTAGGGTGTAGGGTTGAGGGATTTAGGTTGAGGGCTTGGGGCTTAGGGTTTAGAGTTTCAGGGTTTGGGAGTTTTTTATGGTTTAGAGGTTTAGGGGGTGGGGGGTCTGGGGGTTTAGGGTTTAGGGTTGGGGTTTAGGGAGGGTTCAGGGTTTTTGGGGTCAGGATTTAGGGTTTGGGGGTTTAGAGTTTGGGGGCTGGGGGGTTTAGAGTTTAGGGGGTTTCGGGCGGTTTCTTCAACAAGGCGAACTACCTCGAGCGCAACCCCGAGGAGGCGCAGAGCGCGGCTGGGCTGGACGTCCCTGAACCCTAAACCCTCAACCCAAAACCCAAATCCTAACCCTAAACCCCAAGCCCTAAACCCTAAACCCTAAACCCCAAGCCCTAAACCCTAAGCCCTAAGCCCTGACAGATGTTTAGGGTCCAGTTTAGGTTTAGGGGTTTAAGGAATGTTGAGGTTTAGGTAGGGTTTCGGGTTTAGGGTTGAAGGGTTTAGGGCTTCGGTTGAGGGTGTAGGGTTCAAGTTCAAGAGCTTGGGCTTCAGGGTTCCAAGAGTTTAGGATTTTTGGTTTAGGGTTTCCAGCGAAGCCTTAGACCCTAAACGCTAAACCCTGGAATGTCCCTAAACCCTTCTGAACCGACATTCCTTGGTGACTCCCGAACGCGCTAACTCTCAAAAACCGAAATCCGAAATGAATTGTGGTCCTTTTCTCGGGTGCCCTAACTCAACCCGAAACCCGAAACCCCAAACCCTAAACCCCGAACCCTAAACCCGAAACCCCAAACCCAAACCCCAAACCCCAAACCCTAAACCCTAAACCCCAAACCCCAAACCCTAAACCCTAAACCCCTAAACCCATCTACAGGAACCTATTTAGAGGGCCCAGGCGGTCGCAGCCCAGGTCCGGCAGTCGCTTCGCCGAGTTCTGACGATTGGGGAAGCCCTGATGACCGCCACATGCGCGCAGCTCTTGACCTCTGGCGAGGGGCTTCGTAGAAGGGTTTCGGGGTCAACCCTAAACCCCCAAAGCTTAAACCCCAAGCCCCAAACCCCAAACCCCAAACCCCAAACCCCAAACCCCAAACCCCAAACCCCAAACCCCAAACCCCAAACCCCAAACCCTAAACCCTAAACCCTAAACCCTAAACCCAAGAGGGTACAGCATTCAGCCCAGGAGTCACATCCCAGAGCTCGAGATTCACAACCTCTATGGGCCCACTGAGGCAGGTGGAATGAGGACAGTTCGAAATTTTTGGGTTAAGGGTTTAGGGTTTAGGGTTAAGGGTTAAGGGTTTGGGGTTTGGGGTTTAGGGTTTAGGGTTTGGGTTTAGGGTTTAGGGTTTCTTGCTATTGTTCCTATTCTTATTCTCAGGGTTGAAGGTTCTTGTTCTTTGTCTTATTCCTATGCTTCTGTTGTTGACGCTAGTGTTGAGGGTGTAAGGTTCGCTAAGTCTGGCGCTGCGGTCCCGAGGCTTAGGGCATTTAGGGCTTAGGGCTTAGGGTTTAGGGTTTAGGGTTTAGGGTTTAGACTTCAGGGTTTAAGGCGACGCCCAGAGGTGAGGTTGGTGTGGGTTTCGGGTCAAGGCTCCAAACCTTCAACCGTCATTACTACTCGTACCTTTTGATCATCATGACCAGCCCTAATTGGGATCATTATAGGGGGTACTATTCCCTTTTGAGGACTGTTAGTATAAGGAGGAACATCCCAAAGTATCCTCGTACTTGTTTAAGCCATTATTGCCTATAAAGTGCCCAAAACCTCAAACACTAAACCCAAAATCCCTATTAAGGGCTGTTAGTATAAGGGGGAACATCCCAAACTACTCCTGGCACTTTTGTAAATCATTATCCCTAAACTAAACCCGCAACCCTCAACCCTCAACCCTCAACCCTAAACCCTAAACCCTAAACCCAAAACCTCAAACGCTAAACCTATCTAGACCCTGAAGGCTACTCTGTCGACCCTCCCTTCCGAAGACTCCCTTGAGGGCTCTGGGCCCGAAACTTTTGACCTCAACCCTAAGGTTTAGGGTTTAGGGTTTAGGGTTTAAGGGTTTAAGGGTTTCGGGTTTAGGGTTTCGGGTTTAGGGTTTAGGGTTTAGGGTTTAGGGTTTAGGGTTCAGGGTTTAGGGTTCAGGGTTTGGGGCCTAACCGCTCGTCCAGGCCAGTGTGGGCGTCTCCCACTTCAAGGTAGCGGGCAGCAACGTGGAGAGCCTGGGGACGGTGGTGCCCATTGGAAGGCCCCTGGGGAGTCGAATGACCCAAAATCCCAAACCCTAAGCCCCAAATCCAAACTACACCATGAACCTCAAACCCCTAAACCCTAAACCCTGATAAGCCCCTAAACCCGAAGCCCCAAGCCCCAAGCCCTAAACCCCAAACCCAAACCCCAAACCCCAAACCCCAAACCCCAAACCCCAAACCCCAAACCCCAAACCCCAAAGCCCAAACCCCAAAGGACTTACAAGTGCAGTTATAGTTTGTCAAGGTTGTTATTTTTCGGCATGTCAGACTTGGATAAGGTAGAGGAGCTACCCTCCTGAAGCCTGGACCTAAAACCCAATACGCTCCCGAAGCAGCCCCTTCCGTTCCTGAAGAGGCCATTCCCTTACGTGAACTTCTGCGTCTTTGACCCCAGCACCTACGCTGATGCCTTGCCGCAGCTTTTGGGGGTGCGATTAGGGTTGAGGGCTCAAGGCTGAGGTTTCAAGGGCGGTTTAGTTTCGGGCTTAGGATGCTTTGGTGTCGCCCAGTCCCAGTCCCCGGAACCCCGAAACCCTAAAATCCCAAACCTCGGTGGAATGGCCCTAACCCTAAACCCTAAACCTTAAACCCTAATCCCTAAACCCTAAACCCTAAGATTTGTGGAAAGTCCAAGCCCAGGAGGGGCAGAAGATCGAAGAGACGACCCTCCGGGCGCCAGCCCCCGGCGCCATCGGAGAGCTCTTCATCGGAGGTGCAGGGGGGTGTTTCCACTTCCCCGGGGGCAGGGTCTGGGGATTAGGGTTTAGGGTTTAGGGTTTTAGGGTTTTAGGGTTTATAGGTTTATAGGGTTTAGGGTTTTAGGGTTTAGGGTTCAGTTTTAGGTTTAAGTTAGGGCAGTTAGGGTTCAGGGCGTGCCACTGAAGGGGTGTTGTGTGAGCGCGCACACCTACCCAGTCGGGAGACTCTTGTGACGGAGGAAAATCTGGGGGTTTTCGAGTAGGGGTGCCCTATGGGTCCTTAATATAAGGGAATCCTACTATTCGGGGGTCTATATTAAGGGTTCCTTGTTTTCGTAACCTCCCCAGTCAAGGGATTGGAGTGTGCCGGAGAAGCAAGAGCAAGAGCAAAACATACAAGGGAACCGCACCAACAGTCGCAGCCGGAACACGGTACTACTACCACTACTACTACTACTACTACTACTACTACTACTACTACTACTACTACTACTACTACTACTACTACTACTACTACTACTACTACTACTACTACTACTACTACTACTACTAAAGCAGGCCTAGATGGCCTGTAGAACATTTTGCAGTGTACACTGGGTTAAAAAACACATGCATACCCTTGATGTCCCATGTGCAAGTGCGCCTTCTACAGTTCTGAGTGTAGCTCCACAAAATTTCGGCCGTATCTAATGACTACCTATTCCTCTACTGACTACAGGATACACAAGGACCACCAGCATGATGCTTGGGCCTGCGGCCATTCATTCTGGGCCGCACCGCTGTGTTCACACGATGCGCGCATCTACCGATAGGCAGATTGTAGTTTCACAGCGCCGCTATGTGGTCGACTCTGCAAGGGTGCGAGAGAGGAACCCTACCAAAAATGCCGTCCACAGGAGATTGCCTGGCCAGCGGTTACATCAAAAACCCGGAGAAAACCGAGGCGCTTTTGACCAGGGTCGGCGAGACCGGGTTTTGGGGGCTGGAGGCTTAGTGTAGAGCTTGGGGTTTGGGGTTTAGGGTTTAGGGTTTAGGGTTTAGTAGGACCTTTGGAAACTGCTGGCTTCTGGGCTTGAACGGGGACGAGGACGGAGGTTTTGTGGGCGATTTGGGTCGTTACGGCCTGATATCGTTCCTGGTAAGTTCTCTAAGTTGGCACCCCTTTTGAGCCTGGGCCTTGATTACGAGCATCTTGGGATGTTCCCCCTTGTACTAACAGTCCTTCATAGGGATTATCGTGCCCCCTATTTTTCTTCCTTGTGAAGGACTGTTAGGATTACATCCCAACGAGCATCATCTGTTCATCTTTTTCATGTTCTTGCATTTGTGGATTCGAAGTGTATCGCGGTCCAAGTTGATAAGGCACTTTTCTTTCCAGGGCACCCAAGAAGGCTTGTTTTTAGAGAACTACAACGAAGCCCTAAACCCTGAACCCCTCAAACCCCTCAACCCCCCGGAGGCAGAAACGCGTGAGGGTTTAGGACTAGCGCGCGGAGCCCCAGGTGTCAAACCCTAAACCCCAAACCCCAAACCCCAAACCCCAAACCGTAAACCCTAAACCCTAAACCCTAAACCCTAAACCCTAAACCCTAAACCCTAAACCCTAAACCCTAAACCCTAAACCCTAAACCCTAAACCCTAAACCCCAAACCCTAAACCCCCAAAGCCCCCAAAGGCTCCCAACAAAAACAGCCCCAAAACCTCCAACAAACCCCCAGAACCCATGCACTGCCGAAGTGGCAGGCCGCCTTCTTCCGCTTTCCCAGCCTCTGTGCCAAAGCCCCGGAAGGTGCCTCACCCTTCACGCTCCTGGGCTTTAGGGTTTAGGGTTTAGGGTTTAGGGTTTAGGGTTCCGGGTTTAGGGTTTAGGCTTTAGGGTTTTGGGTTTAGGTGCTTCGAAGCAGTGTGCTGTGATACTTGCTTGTTCATGCGGTGAGTTAGGGTTTTAGAGGTTCAGCTTGGAGTGTGGGGTGTGGATATACCTCTGTACTGTTGTTGTTATCTGGGTTCCGAATGTGTTCCAACTCTAGCTATACTTCATCTCCAGAGTCTACCGAAAAGCCTGCCTCAACCCTAACCCTAAACCCTAAACCTAAACCCTAAACCCTAAACCCTAAACCCTAAACCCTAAACCCTAGGCTCTACAAGACCGGGGACCTCTGCAAGGCGCGTGGGGCTTTCACTAGGTGGCCGTTTTAGGGGTTTAGGGTTTAGGCTTGGGATTTTTCCTTATACTAACTTTAGGGTTTAGGGTTTAGGTTCTTTATACTAACAGTCCCTATTCGGATTATAATAGGGGTACTCTAATCCCTATTAAGGACTGTTAGTATAGGGGGGATTACATGTAGGAATCTGCTTGAGAAGGCTCTTCAGGGCCAACGAAGCACGGGCTTCTGGTAACTGACTAGCAGTTTTCACGGGTTCTGTATTTGGGCTTTCGGGCTTATGGGTCTGGGGTTCAGGGGTTTCGGGGCTTAGGGGTTTCCGGGGTCTAGGGATTGAGGGGCGCAGGGCTTTTTGCGACGAGCCTGTCCTATCCCCCCCCCCCCAGGCTGCTGTTGTTGAAACCCCACGGCTTAGGGTGCAGGGTTTATCTTTTAGGGTCTAGGACTTAGGAGCCAGGTGGAGGATGGCATCTTCCACTACATGGGCCGGAACGACTTCCAGGTCAAGATCAGCGGCGTGCGCATCGAATGTGAGGAGGCGGGTTCGTATGGAGGGGAGCATAGTGAGTTGCACATCTTGGGCTCCTGCTCTGATAGACATTTCTTAAGATTTTGCATTTCGGTGATGATGGTTTAGGGTTTTAGGGTTTAGGGTTTAGGGTTTAGGGTTTAGGGTTTATTTAGGGATTAAATCCGAATCCTAGTTCCGAATCCTCGGCCCAGAGCCTTGCACCAGGTGTCCGCAGTGCTCAAGACCCATCCGGTGGTCGGAGATGCATTGGTCACCGCCTTCGACGGGCCGTTCGGATGCTGTGGAAGTCTAGGGTTTAGGGTTAGGGTTTGGGCATAGGGTTTGCCCATGACTTTTCATTTCTTCTCTCTTTCTGTTTTTGTTTTCATTTTATTTTTGCTATGAGTATTGTTGTGATTATTTGTACTATTTACATATATATATATATGTATATGTATATTCATATTCTTAATTTTCTTACCTTTATTCTTCTTATGTATTCATTAACTTTTTTGGTTGGGGGGGTGGGGGCTGTGGCGCTTTTTCGCGGCTTCCGGGCTTCCCCCTTGCTTAAAATTAGGCTACCTTTAGAATCATCCAATGTAACCCCCCAAAAAGGAGGTGCTGCTTTGTTCTCGTTCATATTACTCTGGCTCTAGTCTATGGACCTCACTTCGGAGGCTGGATAGTTGGGTCGTGACTGGTGTTGTCGGTAGGGCAGCCCAAGTTGCAAGTGGTTCTGACCTTACTTGGGATAAATCTGACCCTTGCCAAAACGTGCCCAAGAGCCTCCAGGCAGACCCCAAACCCTAAACCCTAAGCCCTAAGCCCTAAACCCCAAAATGCGGTTCACAAGGCCGTTTGGAAAGGCCCTGGCCGCTTATGTCGTGACCACGGACACGGTGGATTGGTCGCAGGCGGGGGGGGGGGGGGGGGGGGTGGCCCAAAAAAGTTGCAGGGTTTAGGGTTTCGGTTTCGGGTTTCGGGAGGTTTAGGGTTTGGGGTTTAGGGTTTAGGGTTCAGGGTTCAAGGCTTCGTGGGATCTGGGGCCCCGGCGTTTTGGGGTTTAGGCGGTTTCGCTGTATAAGGATTTAGGGCTAGGGTTTAGGGGCTTAGGGGTTTAGGCGTTGAGGCTCAGGGTTCCCGAAAGCTACACTCCCATGCTACCCAGAGGTTTAGATTTAGGGCTCCGTAAGTTTTAGGGTGCCAGTGTTTGCGCTGAGTCCGAGCCCAAATGGCCCATGGCCCTGCGTCCCATAGGGTTTAGGGTTTAGGGTTTAGAGTTTGAGGTTTAGGGTTTAGGGTTTGGAATCCCCCAGCAATTTCCCAACGCCAGGAGATGGATCAGGGCGCGCAGGACAGCGACGAGATTCTCAACGTCAGCAGCTGGGGGGCTGTCTACGACGAGATGCCCCTTGGCTTCGGCTTCTTTCATGGGATCCTAGACAACACCCCCCCCCTCACCTTAGAATGAGGCCAGAAGGAGCTTTGTTGACGGGCCTTATTTTGACGTGGCATGTCTTATGGGTTAATGTAGGATCCGATGAATCTTGAGGTTTAAGGGGTTGGGGCCGGGGGTTTAGTCACAGTGTTTTCGCGGACAGGAAGCCAGGATTCAGGAAACCACGCGATTAAGGAAACCAACTGAATCAGGAAACTGAAAACGTGCGATTCAGGAAGCTGCGATTCAGGAAACCACGCGAGGAAACTGAAAACACGTGATTCAGGAAACTGCGCGATTCAGGAAACTGAAAACGCGACTCAGGAAGCTAACTTGGGCGATTCAGGAAACCGCACGATGCAGGAAACTGGGCGATTCAGGAAAGCACGGGACCGATTCAGGGCATCGACGTCCTGCCATTCAAGACTGCTCAACTAGAGGAAGGAATGTAAACTGGGTGTTCGGGGGTTGGGGGGGGGTGGGTGGGGTGGGGTGGGGTGGGTGGGGTGGGGTGGGGTGGGGGGGTTGATAGCCTTCATGTACCGACCGACTCAGGGAACCGACGTCCTGCGATTCAAGACTGCTCGCTTGAGGACGATGTAAAGTGCACCTCACTGGCCTCCACCTCCAGCCCCTTGCTTCTCTCGGTCCTGTGTGTTTTTTTATTATTTTTATTTTTTTACCAGGGTTGTCTCGAAGGGTTTTCGCAAGGCGTGCGCACGCGTGCGCGTGCCTGCTTATGCCAGGCCCGGCCAATGCGCACGTTTGCTTGTGTCGCTTTCCCCCTTGAGATGGTTTGTCCTCGCGCCGCCCTCAGAAGTAGGGAAGGTGTCCTTGCAAGTTTTTGTTTTGCGCGCCGCCCTCAGCTGCGGCCTGGAACGGTTACAGTCTTGGGGATGGCATGTTTGCCACTTAGTAGAGCTGACTTTTCTTTCCTGTGAGCTTCGTGTTGGCTGGATACAGAAGCCATCACTCAGGTGGTCAGCAGGATTACTTCCGACTTGACGGTGTGTTTCTTTGTGTGTCTTATCCTCTGGCTTCTGTCGTGCCTTTGATGCTGGAGACCTCCCTGAGCCAGCAGAGTTGTGATGTGTTCAAGGCCTCCTGGCAAAGCACATCGGCAGCCTCTTCAGGCAGATTCTTTCCCGGAGACTTCTTTGAAGCGCATGCCGTCCTGGTGCAGCTTGCCAAGATTGGAAAGGAGGCAGTTGGTCTGGCGCGGCCGGCGCGGCGATGTCTTACCTGAGCGTCGCACCATTCTGTCCTCTGCCTTGAAGAGCTTGGTAGGCTGCATCTACTTCCGGCAGCTCACCAATGCCATCTCATCCGTGCAGGGAGAGCGCTTTGTTTTGTTTGCCAGGACGTTCATCAGGTGCCACTGGGCTGGTCTCTGCTACCAGCTTAGTACTTGAAGCCTGTATGTTCCATATCCTTGAACCTTGCGCGTCGCCGGCGTGATGTCTGCAGCTAAGGCAGGAATGTGGGCCTGGGAGCACAAGTCCGGGTGGCCCGCATTCCCAGCTTGTTGCAGCCTCAGTGCATCCGAGGATGAACAAGTAGCGACCTGACATACATCGCGACTGCCTCTTGCCAGATATCCAGCTGATTCTGGATTCTGTGCTGAATCATCCGACGCTCCTGTTTGGATATTTCGCAGGCTGAGACAGATATGACATGTATGCATATGTGTGCTTCGCCTTGCGCAGTGGAGTCCTGCATTTCGAGGCCCCCATGGCGTATCCGAAGGGGCAGGGGACCACCTTGATGTTTTTTGACGTGTCGAGGCGACGGTGTACCAGAAACTTGCGCCTGGCAAACAGTCAGGTTGCATCAGTGACCATCGGAAGCGCGCCTGCTGCGCGAGTCTAAACTCGACAGCTCGCAATCTCTACAGATCGGATGCTGAAGATTTGAAATTTTGTCAACCCCGGCATGCAAGCTGTTTCCCTCTCACTGGCGCCTGAGGACGGAGTGGAAATTGGGCGTGGATGGGTGGGTGGATGGGGGTTGATAACCTTCATGCCCCGGCCGACTCAGGGAATCGAAGTCCTGCGATTCAAGACTGCTTGCTTGAGGGCGGTGTAAATGGTGTGGGGGGTGGGGGGTTTCCGACTCCGCGTTTTGCAGTTTCCCGAATCCGCGGTTTCCCGAGTCCTGGTTTCCCGAGTCCGCGTTTGCAGTTTCCCGAATTCACGGTCTCCCAGTTTCCCGAACCCCCGATTTCCGAATTTTCGAATCAAGTATTTCCAGTTTCCGAATCCGAGCATTTTCAGTTTCCGAGTCTGCTGCTGACCGTTTTCACGTCTTTTTTGGGTACCCTAACCCCTAAGCCCTAAGCCCTAAACCCTAAACCCTAAACCCCAAACGCTAAACCCTAAACCCTAAACCCTAAACCCCCTACCCCCTAAACCCCCTACCCCTAAACCCTAAACCCTAAACCCTAAACCCTAAACCCTAAACCCTAAACCCTAAACCCTAAACCCTAAACCCTAAACCCTAAACCCTAAACCTCTCCTACCTACTATATTATAGATGTTGGGGAGTTACTGGGCAAGGTCAATTTTTATTGGGCAAGGTCATGTTTTTTGGACAAAGTCATGTTTTTATTGGGCAAGGTCATGTTTTGACTGGGCAAGGTCGTTTGGTCCAAAAAAAGACAAAATTTTGCCCAGTAAAAATATGACACTCGGCCCCGAAGGTTAGTCTGGCCCGAAAAATTTAGACCTTAGATAGTGGGACACTACGCAAATTTTGACCTATATAATAGGACACTAAGCAAATAGCGATTCTTTGTGGTGGGTTTCAGAATGTGGTTGTTGTTTGTCTGTCTTGTCGCTTGAAAATGAAAATGTATGTAAAATGTTTTCATAATGTTATGGGATCCCATGCTGGTGGGGTTGACATTCGATACCGGAGTAAAGCGCCTTACTTGTGAGTGCTTGAACTTGAGATGCTGAACCCTAACCCTAAACTCTAAACCCCATGCCCTAAACCCTAAGCCCTGAACCCTCAACCCTACAAAGCCTACGAAATCTCCCAAGGTACAAGGAGACCGACAACAGCGTGTCCGCACAGGCGCCTCGTTGGGGCAGACTTATACTAGCAGTCCTTATAAGGAATTAGGGTTTAGGGTTTAGGGTTTAGGGTTACGGTTTAGGGTTTACATTCCCTATTAAGGACTGTTAGTACAAGGGGGAACATACCAAAGTGCAGGGCTTGTTCGATGCTAGTTTTTGTTTTTTGTGTCGGTTAAAGGTTTAGGGGTTAGGGGTTTGGGGTGTAGGGTTTAGGGTTCAGGATTTAGCGTTTCGGGGCTTAGAGGACTTCAGAGGCCCGAGTTTTTTGACTTGCTTGTCGAGGATCCGACTCTCAACTGGAGTGGCTACACTGACACCTACTCCCGGCGTCCCCACATCGAACAAGTGATCAAGGAATGGGTGGAGTGGAGCTGCGAGCAGGTGCGGGGAGAGAGGTCACTTAAACCCTAAACCCTAAACCCTGAACTTTGAACCCTAAACCCTAAACCCTAAACTTAACCCTACTCTTAACCCTAGACCCGAACCCCAAACTCCAAGCGGTTCTTCAAAAGGGATCCCCACGCCTCAAGGGGTTGGAGCCCCAAGGAGGTAGAAATCCTTCCTCCGCAAGTCCTTCGCAAGGCCCTACTGGTTCTTAGTAGAGTGCGGGAATTAGGTTATATCCCCGGTAGAATCACTTGCAGGGTAGATAGAGGGGAAAAGATTACCAGGAAAAGGACGGGAAATAGTCCTTCTATAGGCCGTACTATAGCTGATAGAATTCCCTTATGAACCCTGAACCCTAAACTTTGGGATGTTTCCCCTTATACTAGCAGTCCTTGTTAGGGATAAAAGTACCCCCGATTAAAATCCCTTTTAAGGACTGTTAGCATAAGGGGGAACATCCCAACCTAAACCCTGAACCCTCAACCCAAAACCCTCAACCCTCAACCTTAAACCCTCAACCCTCAACCCTCATCCCTCAACCCTCAACCCTCAACCCTCAACCCTCAACCCTAAACCCTAAACCCCTAAACCCTAAGCCTCAAACCCTAGACCGCAAGCCCCAATTCCCTGTGGCCTGTTGGATCCCCAGGTCTCTTCTCATGAGCACGTCCTGAGCGAGTTGGGCGGCCGCAACCCGATGGCCGAGATGGTCAGGTTCTCTCTCAGCTTTTTGAAATTTGGGGTTCGAGGCCTAGGGTTTATGGGTTTTGGGTTTAGGGTTTAGGGTTTAAGGTTTAGGGTTTCGGGTTACCGCAAGGAGCACTTTCAGTTGGATGATTGGGCGGATTTCCGGATCAGATAATTAGTAAGTTCACCAAAAGACGTTTATGAATGGAAAAAAAGTGACTTATCTTCGTGAATGAGTATGTATATTTATTGATACATACAGTTCTTAGAATGGGGCATTTAATAGCACTTCCAGTATATTTGTTCCAGCATATTGTTATCTTCATGAAAAGGCCCAAATAATCAATACATCTTATAAGGGCCTTTGTACTTGTCACTAAGAAAGCTAGAAAATGCCTCAATAATGATCCTTTTTTCGCCCAACTTCCTATCTTCTCATAAAAATCCTTTCGCTGAACCTTTCGTGGTATTAGTATTGTATCCTGTGTCCTGCTAATAATCTTTTCCTTGTGCTCACGGCCTGCATTTAATATAATTTGTGCTGCATTAATATCTTCTTCTTCTCTGTCGCTGAAATAGAATTTAATATCACCAGGGACGAAACCGTAAGCCATATCGTTATACAGTTTCTACTGTTTGCATGACTCTCAAATACATGTTTTTGCTGGTGTTCTTCGTTTGCCCTAAAGATCCAGTACATTTACTATCTGATTAAAGCATTTTCTAAACCCTAAGCCCTAAACCCTAAACCTGAACCCTAAACCCCTAACCCCTAACCCCTAGCCCCTAGCCCCTAGCCCCTAGCCCCTAGCCCCTAGCCCCTAACCCTAACCCCTAACCCCTAACCCCTAAACCCTAAACCGTAAACCCCAAACCCTAAACCCTAAACCCTAAACCGCTGAGGCAAGGAAAGGCCGACCATCACCGAGCTGGGTTGTGGCGCGCTGGGCCGCAGTCAGGTGACTACTTGAAGGTGTAGGTTTTGTTTTGGGGTTTAGGGTTTAGGGTTTGGGGTTTAGGGTTTAGGGTTTAGGGTTTAGGGTTGAGGGTTGAGGGTTGAGGGCTGTTTCAGCCCTTAGGGCTTAGAGGGGTCTTGGACTTAGGGTTTAGTAGGGTTTCTAAGCAGCGTGGGCCTTTGTCGCCCTAAGAAAGGGGAGAAGCCAGGCCCGGACCTTCCCCTCAAAGTAACAGTCTTGTTTAGGCCACAACTATAAAATTCGACCCCGCGAAATTCGCCCGAAGCCCGAGGGTTGAAGCTTTCTAGCTTCGCGAGCGTCGCGCTTCGCCGGAAGCCTGAAGCCTGTAGAGTCACCTCAAACCCCCAAACCCAAGACCTGAAGCCCCGAACCCTAAACCCTAAACCCTAAACCCAAAAACGTAAACCCTAAACCCTAAACCCTAACCCTAAACCCTAAACCCTAAACCCTAAACCCTAAACCCCAAACCCCAAACCCCAAACCCCAAATGCGAAACGAGGGAATGGCATGCTTCTCTTTCGCCTGGCACCCCTTCTGGGTGACAAGGGCCGGCGCCTGGTTGGCAGCCAAGGGCGGGGGGGTGGTACAGGGTTTAGGGTTTAGGGTTTAGGGTTGAGGAAGGTTTGGGGTCGTGTAGGGTTGATAAGGGTTGTGGGCCTTATCGGGTTAGCCAACACGAAGCCTTAAAACCCTAAGCCCTACACTACCTGCAACCCCCAAAGCCCTAAATGAATCTGAGAAGGTTCAAGCACCTCGTGCTTCCTGGCACCACCCTCTCCGCCCATGTAGATCCGGCAGCCTTCAATCCCCAAGCCCAAAACCTGGACCTTTGGGACTGTTAGGGTTTAGGGGTTGGGCTTTAGGGGCCCGTGAGGCCTAAACCCACCCTACTAAGCCTGTTACCTAACCCTAAACTCTGAAACCTAAACCCGAAACCCTAAATCCAAAAAGGTACATCGGCACCGACATCTCCACGCGCGCTCTGGAGACCGTGGCGGAGCTCAAGCGCACGTTGCCACAGCACCCGGAGCTCATCTTGCCGTTAGGGTTTAGGGTACGGGGGCAACCGAAAGGGAACAGGGAAAGAAACCAACCCTCAACAGTTGCCTATATGGATTTCCCAGATCGAACCAGAAACAAGAACACCCACCCCTACGGGGACAGGATAAGGGAGAAGGGACGGGACTACTCCAACCCGTTAAACCCAACCCCAGGCGTACGTACTTTTTCAACAAAAGCTGACGGCTCTTGGCCATCTTGAGCCATACAAGATTTCCGGGTTCAGTGACCCTTCCAACCCCCAACACTAACTCCTTTCTACAATACCAGTTGCAGCTCCGCACTCCCCCTGTCCTAGGATTTCCTAGGACACATTGGAGGTGCAGATCTTTTGGCCAAAAACTGCCATTAAGGCAGCAGCCAGCTGCTTGACATGCACAATATGGTTTTACGTCATCCAGGACGAAATTATAGCTCATTGGCTAACCCACTAACCACAGAGAATCTTTTTCCACCATGATCCTCTTGTCATTGAAGACTCTTCGGCCTTCTTCACCACAAACCGTGGTCTTCGCTACGCGAAAAACTACTGACTTCTACTATCAGGGATTTCCATACCCTTAATAGTAACCACCACATTGTCAGCACATTGGCTGTTCCAGCGCACCTGTCTCCAGAAAGAGAAAAACCATCCCTTCATCCATACCATCCAATCACTTCTTTTTCCGATTGTTGGCAATTCTGAGGTGAAGTTGCAGCAGAATATACTCCAGGTCCGAAACTGTAAGAACAGGATCCTGCACGCACCTTTGAATTGAGGATACCAATCCTTCTCTCTTTGCGTCCTCAATCGCTTGGCAAGATTGACCCAGCTCTGCATTCACAGTGGTAGACGCTGGTGCATCCACATCAGATGGACGATCCTTTTCCTCAGGACCTTGCACCATTACCACCTCTTCCTTTTTGGGACTCTGACTTTTCTCCTTCTTCTTCGTCTTTCCACCGACATTTGACTTTGTGCGCATTTTCGAGGCTTTTTCAACTGCAGAAACCACCACATTGGATGATGATCCACCCTTCTCAATGATCGCCGGCATCTTCTTCGGCTTTGGAACCATGAGAGTGTAAGGATCTTCGATAGCTGCAGCTTTCCTCTTCTTTTTGACCTTTTTCATCTCCTCCTCAACGGCAACCTCCGTCTCCGAAGTTTCAACCACTTCTTTTTCTGCAGGAATATCCTTGCTGGACTCCCTTTCTAGGGACCTCTTTTTGCCCCTTTTGGAATCTGTCTCTTCTCCCAAATTGGCTCGCTCGTACCATATCCTCAGGTCATTGACCCATTCTTCCACCTCCGCGAGCGAAACATCATACGACTTCACTACTTCGTGAAGTTCCAGCACGGACAGCATACTAGTGGTCCACGAAACCCATTCTCTATCCATCTGGTCAGCATCTCCATTGAACTTCAGGAGTTTGAACAGTGGGTCCGCCTCTGCTCGAGCCAAATCTGACTTGCCATCGGACAGAAATGAAATCGCCTCCATCAACAGTTCCGTCATTTTGGTATCATCGTCATAAACCATAAAATCCTCCTCACCATCATCGAACTGTTCAGGAGAGATCTCCTTTTCTCCACCTTTTGCACCAGAACTTCTCCTTGGACCATCCCTTGGGGGCGTCCTTGGAGACCTTGGCCTCTGTTCATCCAGCGGAACACCATGCTCGAAAACACACCTGTCACCATAACGACACTTCCCAGACCGAGCAAACTGGATGCACCTCACACCAGTTGCATCATGCGAGAACTCACATTCCTTTCCAGCGAAGCAGGGTCTCCCCGCCACATAGTATTTGCACCAATACGAATGTAGCACCACATCATCTTCTGAATGGATGAATTTGCAGTCTTCACCAAATTTGCAGCGATCTTTCCCCTTGCTGAACCAATAGCAGAAGCCTTTCTTCCTCTTCTCCAAGCGCTCTGCCTCGTACCGGTCCATAGGGCGATTCTGCTCTACATGAACATTGCCATGTACCTGGAAACTGCTCCCTTCACCCAAAGTGCTATCCGTATTTGATGCTTGGAGTACAGCTGGAAAACCTGGCCTTGGTCCTACCACCTTCATGATTGGTTTTCCGCCAGCTCAGTATCACCAAATTTGAACTGATGTGCGCTGTTCCCTTCTGCAGGAATCAATACATTCACCTCACCATGGTCCAAAAAGGCTCCATACCCATTGATGCAGCGCACTAGACCCATGATCTCATCTCCCTCTTGGTAGCAATGTTCCCCAGGTGATTCCAAGGCTCCCGCTCGGGGCACTTTCTTTGCATGCTCTTCAGAAACCATCTCTGTATCAT